TTTGGAGCCTGCCAAATTTTCCCTGTGGGTGTTGGTGTTCTGCTGTTTGTGGCTCCCTCTGCTGGGTTTGAATGAGCCTGGGTGGGCCCGCGTTAAACACCACTGTCAAGTCTTACTTTCCTGGGTAGATTTTCAAGCCCAGGAAAGGTTCAGTTATCCTCTAACTCTTTCCTGGTGGCTAGTAGTCTCAGTTACTCAGTGCCTCGGAATGTAGCCCTGGTGTTCTGCATAAGAGGATTTCCAGAGGGTGGGATAGAGGCTGGTTGTTAATGAGCCTCAATTTTTATTTCTTTGCCTCACATGGGAAAGGCTGAATCTCCGAGGGGGGGAGGGGGCTGCTGCTTTTCCCAACAGCTTGAGGAAGGAGCACACTGGCCACCGTCCTTTGTGGCCGCAACACAGCAAAAACTCTGAGTGCCCTCCAAATCCCGGGTGTCCCCACACAGTTCCAGCCCAGTCCGCCTTCCCTCTGCCATAGCCCCCAGGTGAGTGGCTGTGGCTATTTTAGTGCTGTGTCCAGGCTCTCTGTGCTGTGGAGAGGGCTTGGTCTTTATTCCCCAAGGGCGCTGCTCACAGCTAAGACTGCTGCTGTCCCTGGGCTCACAGCCCTCCATCCTCTCACACCTCCCCAGATCCTACCAGTGTTCCCTGGTTATATGGTCCTGTCCTGCTGCTTTTCTGTTGTTTTTTTCCGAGGATTTGTCATTATTTTAGTTGTAATTCCTGTTTGGTCCTGGGAGATTGTCTGCGTAGCTTCTATTCACTCCGCCTACATTTTCCATTTTCACATCCTTTATGCCTATCTTGTACGCTCCTGGGTCGCACAGGCCTTTCTGGTGCCCCTGCACCCTGCAGGTCCCATGAGTAACTGGATTGCACAGTCCCTGTGGGGACCCGGCTCTATGCCTATGTTATGGGCTGCTGGGTCGCACAGGCTCTCTGGTGCTTCAGCACCTCACAGGCCCTGTGGGTACCTAGATCACGCAGTCCCTGCTGGGTCGCACAGGCTTCTCTGGTGGCCCTGCACCCTGCAGTTCCCGCAGGTGGGCAGCTGGATTGCACCAGTCTCTCTAGGGCTCGGGCTTTCCACTGCTCTTGTGAGCTACTGGACCACACAGGCCTCTGTGGAGCCCCAGGTCCCGCCACTGGAGGCTGGGGAGTGCTGCTGCCCTGTGGGGCTCAACTCCTGCTCAGCTTTTGCTGTAGTTTTTGGGGATGAGTCTCAGCTGCTGGTCTGTGCTTCTGTTGCCTGGGGATGGATGTCTGCTCCCCAGCCTCTGTTGCTCTTGACTCTGATCGGGCTGCTACTATGGGGGATGGTGCTGGGCTCTGGGCTGTCTGCAGCTTCCATGACCAGCACCTTGGGAGCTCCACTACTGTGCACCGGTCTGTGTTGACACAGAGTGTCCACTGTTCCTATGGTGCCAGGTACGCTGGTGGGCTCAGGTTGCTGGGCCCTAGCTGCTCCCACTTCCTCCTCTCAGGGAAGACCCGGGAGGTCCCACAATCTTCCAAAATTGTGGGACCTCCCCGCAGCACAGGGAGAAGCTCCTGAAGGGCCGCTTACTGTGGTAGCCGGCTGCTCCATCCACAGCACAGGAACCTTCTGCTCTGTGTCTCTGTACTGCTCGAGTTTGGTCATCCACCTTCACGTCCAGTCACACTCTCACACAACTCACTCACTCTCTCACACACTCACCCTCCCTCTGTTCCTGCCCGCTGCCATCTGATAAACAATACTTTTTTGAGTTTAAATAATAACTGTAAGCTGGAATGATCCAGGAAGTTTGAATAGTAGAGGTAATAACTTGAACTGGGCCTACAAATTGGGTGTGTCTCAGATGGTCTGACTCACAGTGCTTCCTAGTACGAATAATCCTCACTGTCCCTTTTTGGTCCCAGGTTCTTTCTTTCCTGACCTGTCTTTCTTTCTTTTTCTCTTTTTAAAATCCTCACCCGAGGAAATTTTGCCATTGATTTTCAAAAAGAGTGGGAGGAAGGGAAGGAGATAGAGAGAGAAACATCGATGTAAGAGAGACATATTGATTGACTGCTTCCTGCACCACCCTGACCAGGGCCAGGGATCGAACCTGCAACCTAGGTACATGCCCCTGACCAGGAATTGAACTCAAGACTCTTTTGTTTGTTGGATGACACTCTAACCACTTAGCCACACTGGCCAGGGCCTGACCTTTCTTAAGGCAGAATAATAGTAGATGCCATTTATAAAACACGTGTTAAATATGTTTGTGTTTTGAACCTTCACAACTCTGTGAAATAATATCTAAGATGGTGATAATATTAAGAAATAATAGTATAAGTACATTGTTAAGAAATACAAAGCTACCAAGAGTGGTTCCATTTATATTTGTTACGGGTATATTATATAGTAAGTGCTATATTTAGCAATAATGGGAAAAGCATATCCTCCTCTGTAAGTCAAGAAATTGACCCATTGGTTTATCAGTCAATCTGGTTTTGTGGTTTTGGTTAATGTATATCAGTTTCTTGAATTTTAATCAACTCTTGAAGCTATAGAATTGAGTTTCCAGATGCACAAAACTAAGAACCAGATAGGCTCTCTTGTTAGTTTGCACATAGAGTAAAATCTCAGAGCCTCCATAATTCTTGGCCCTGGGCAGGTCCTCTTTGGGTCTTGCTAAAGTCACTTATGCAGCTGTAATAATATGGTGGCTTGACCGAACTCTGTGGTTTTAAGATGGCCTCATTCGTATGTCTGGTGGTAGATGCTGACTGTCAGCCGGACCTTTTGTTCCAAGTGATCTTTCATCCTCAGAAAGACTAATCTTAGCTTCTTTACCTAGTGGTGGTTTTGTCCCTAAAAAGTGAAAGTGGAAGCTGAAAAGACTTTGTTGACACCTAGACTCAGAATCACTTGGGGTCACTTATGCTACCTTTTGTTGGTCACAGAGAGTCTTGAAGGCAGTCTAAATTAAAGGGATGGGAAAATAAATGCTATTTCTTCATGGGAAGAGTAGCCAAGTCACCCTTCAGAAGGACTTGTCTTATGTGATGGGAAGAATTATTGTAGCTATTTTTGTACATCATCTGTTTTTTTCCCTTTCTTCCATTCATTGCATTATGTACTTGGTGGGCTTTTTTATTCCAGACACTTATATTTTTCATTTTGGGGACATTTAAAAATATTGCCTTTGATAATTTTCTCTTATTTTCTTCTGTTTCTGAAACTCCTGTTATTTAGGTGTTGGATCTGCTGAATTAGTTCTCTGCATTTTATCATTTCTTCTCTATTGTCTATTTCTTTGTTGTTTTAGTTTTACTTTCTAGGTAATTTTCTTGATTCTACCATTCATTCTGAATTTTCAAATTGTACCTGTTTTCGGTTTCTACAAGTTCAATCTTGTCCTTTGTTTCTTCTTTATAGCTTTCTGTTTTTTCATGGATGCATTATCTTCTTTTATCTGTAAGGATATTAATCATGTTTAAAATACTTTTTGTTTGGTCCCTTTATTGTCTTTGTTTCTTTCATGTACCCTTTTTCTCTCCTTTTTTAAGGAACTCTTTTTTATCTTAGAGCCTTTCTTCAGTTTTGATGATTTTAGGCCTTTATTCATATTTAAGTGTGAGGGGGACACACACACACACATCCACACACATTGGGAAACTCTGTATACCGGGGGGGGGGGAGTTGTTGACTAAGACTGCCAGAACCAGTGACATTATCTGTAGATCTTTCCTCTGATTGTTCAGTTTCCACAGAGAGGGATTCTGTAATCTGTCTGCATTCTGGTGGCAGGGTAGGAGGATGGGAACTGGGGCTCTCACTGTTCAGTATGACCTTCACATGGTTCCCCATCATATTCTAGCATCTCACTCCCATAGTCCTCTGTGCCATTATGGACCTGATCCCTGAGCCTCTTTAGTTCATTTTTTCCCCAGAGAATAAACTGCTTAGCCATGGGGGTGGAGGAGGACTGGTCGCTTGTGTGTGCAAGTTGAGGAAGGCTGGGTGAGCCTTAGCGCCCTTTTTATGGACCTAACATAAATCCCTGTTTATAGCCCAGAGCTTCGGTCATATTATCCAGAGGTCTCCAGGGTTCTAGCTGTTTCTTAGTGGGGTACCCTCCTCAGCTTTTTGTTTTCTAAACTTTTGTTGCTATCTATCTTCTGTAGTTGTCTTTTTTTGGATACTCTTTCTTCTTGGGCTCTTTCCTGTCATTTTAGTGGAGTTTCACAAGGGAACATAGGAATAGATGAATGCCCATGGTTAACCAGAGGCCCCCTTTCCTTTTTTCTTGTAGTTTCTTGGTATAGATCCTGTGCTGCCTGTTCTGATTATCATTTGTTTCAGTTGTGTGAGTGAGTTCTTCCTAGGCCAGTTGTTGTAGTTGAGTGTTGAGGAGGGGCCAGGGCAGTGTTATCCCCTCTGAGTTCTTTCAGCCTTTGCTGCCCACCCCCCGGCAATGCGATTGGCTGCTGGATGGCCCCTTCCAACACGGCTTCTTCAAAGAGAGTGTGTCTTCTTTCTCCCTCTCTCCCCCATACCTCTCTGTGTTGCCAGTTCAGACCCAGGCACTTTTAGACACCAGCCCACACACTGTTTTCAGTGTATAAACAAAGGAGCCTTGCCCCTCAGGGGTATGCCATCTGCTGTGTGAAACAGCTCTTCAGATGTTTCCTCTGGTGTCTTCCTTCATCCTGTTCACCCTTCCTTGTCTCTGGCAGCACTTTCTCACTCACCAGACTCAGAGCTGTGGATGATTCTTAGTGTCATCAGAGGTAGACTTTGAGTTTTCCTTCCCTTATTTCTAAGTGATTTCTGAGAAGCTGGCAGAGAGATTTTATTCTGCCATCTTTATTGTACTCTCATTGATTTTTATTAGTTTCTGTCTCAAAAAGTAGACTTTTCCTACTATTACCCTCCAATTGAAAGGCTTTTTATATACTCAATAAACCGGAGCTTATGACTTACATGGTACACAGCCTTTTTCTTGCTTAATTTTTGCTTTATGTTCTAGGGAAGATCCTCCAACATGTTCTCAGCCAGACAGTGATGATGAGGCAGAAGAAATACAGGTTGGTTCGAAATAAAATACTCTGTTCTGTGGACTGTTCTAATTTCAATGATCTCTGAAATGGTCCTGACATTTAGATCTTAGTATATATTCATTACAGTGAGAAATTACATGAAAATCTCACTTTGATATATACTTTTATTCACATATACTTTGTGTTCAGGAAAAGATGTCACCTGTTTATGTATAATTTTTAGATTGGAGCACTGCTTTCTGAAGCCCAATACACAATCTGCAGTTAATTTTTGTTTCTGTCCTCTTCTCCATGCAGTGGTCAGATGATGAAGACACGGCCACCCTGACGGTAAGAGCAGAGCGCCAGCACGGGGACAGCTTCCCACTGTCACCCAGCCGCCGCAGCGTTCAGTGCATGTCTCCGAGTCCTGTCTACGCACCATTTCAAATGTCATTCTCTCTGTTGGCTATTATGTATTATTTTGAAAAATAATTTGAATCATTGTTTATAGGCAAATATGACCTGCCCTTTTTACCCCTTTGATTACAAAGGAAATATTTTAGTGCATAACTGATGCTTTGACTTATTTTTTATAAGCTCTGAAAGAAAGCATCAAGTCTAGATCTATGGCTCTAAATTAAAGTGAAAATCTGTATTCACTTATTTATTTAGATTTAAGTGTCATAAAACATTACAATTTCTTTTAAGTGAGAGTAGAGTAGTTTATTACTTTAGTTAGTAGATTGCATAAAAATGCAAAAGTTGATCAAACTTGTTATAGTCTTTCAGGGTAAGAGTGCTATTGTCAAATTTAACTTCAAATATTTTAAAAATTGATTTTAGAGAAGAAGGGGGAGAGAAAGAAAGAAAAAAACATCAATTTGTTGTTCCACTTACTTATGCATTCATTGGTTGCTTCTTGTATGTGTTCTGACCAGAGATCAAACCCACAACCTTTCTGTATTGGGACAATGCTCTAAGCAACTGACCTACCCGGCCAGGGCCTAAAATATTGTTTTAGTAAAAATATATTTACAGTCCTGGCCAGTTTGGCTCAGCGGATAGAACATCAGACCCCAAACCAAAGAGTCACGGGTTCAATTCTGGTCAAGGGTAGGTACTTCAGTTGTGGTTAGGTCCCTGGCCCTGGTCAGGGTCCTACGGGAAGCAACCAATCAATGTCTCTCTCAGATTGATGTTTCTTCCTCCCTCTCCCTCCTTCCCTCCCTCCCTCTCACCCTATCTGAAGATAAATGGGAAAATATCCTCAGGTGAGGATTAAAAAAAAAAGTATATTTACAGGAATGAATGAAGTAAAAAATATATCTCTAAAAATGTGTAGGTGAATGGAACTCCTTATACATTGAAATAATAAAGGTCTTTATAAAATTCCTTACAAATAAATGTAAAGGCACAATAAAAGAAACTGGTTTTATGGGGGAGGGTATGTTCTAATATGATTCTAATTAAGATACTTCTGCTTAATGAAAGAGATATGATTTCCAGGGTACAAGGGAAAAAAAGTAGAGATGCCTAAACTGATATATTTTCTTAGGTATAAAGAGCATGCCGACATATTCAGAAAGGGAAAGATTTTTTTTTTTAATTTACTGATTTTAGATGGTGGGGGGCAGGGGGAGACAAAGAAAGAAACATCGATTTGTTCCATTTATTTAAGCATTCATGGTTAATTCTTTTTTTATTTATTTATTTTTTATTTATTTATTTATTTTTTATCCTCACCCGAGAACATTTTTTTTTCTCCATTTTTTACTCAGATAGAGGGGGAAGGAGAGAGAGGAAGAGAGAAACATCGATGTGAAAGGGACACATCGAGTGGCCGCCACCCACACGACCCAACCAGGGCCGGGGACAAACTGCAGCCAAGGTACGTGCCCTTAGCGGGAACCGAACCCGGGTCTCTGTGGTCTGCAGGCTGACGCTCTAACTGCTGAGCCAAACCGGCCAGGGCCATGGTTAATTCTTGAATATACCCTGACAAGGGATTGAACCCACAACCTTGGTGTATGGGATGGCTCTCTAACCAACTGAGCTACCCGGCCAGGGCCAGAAAGGGAAAGATTGCTCTGGATATCTTACAGATTTACTCTGGATATCATACAGATCAGTCATTTTCTTTTCATGAAAATTCTATTCAGTACAGATACTTGTTAGTTATCTACCACTTCCAGGGCACTGTAGTGGGTTCTACGAAGTAAACAATCATGAATGTGATTTGATTCCTGCCACCATGGACGTTATAAACAAGTGGGGAAAGATGCCCCAATTTGGGGGAAGATGACAAAGTGCTGTTAGAACAAAGAAAACAGAACTGCAGGGATCTAGAGATACTTAAAAGGAGAAGTGACATTTGACCTGGACCCTAAAAGTGGTAAAGATTATCAGTATCAACTCATATTTGTAGATGTAGATAGGTAGCTACAGAAAGTAATAATATACACGTGTGCGTCCACTTACCAAACTCTGTTCGCTAAGGTCTAGAAGTAATGATATATGACATCATGGTAGCAGTGAGCATCCCTAGTGCCCCGATCTTGGTTTCTAAATGCCATTCTTCATGAAAAGGAACCATAGCTCCTTGGAGAAACTCAAGACTGGGAGTAGGAAAGTAAAGATGAGCAAGCAACAATTTGTTGTGTCAGAAAGTAAGGAAGTGGGACATGCCAGAGGAGAGATGGAAGATTACCATGCTGAGAAAGAGACTACTTTCATTGTTGATGAAGTGAGCAGCGTTGTAGAGGCTGTTGAAGGTGCCATCGGTGGCAGTGCCTGTCAGCACGGCAACGTGAATCAGTGGAGCACAGATGTAGTAGAACAAACTGGAAGCCAACTCACCAAGCTGGGAAAACCATTTAAATACATCGAGACCTGTGTAGTTAAGCAGAAGAATGGAGCAGGATTACCCATAGCAAGTTCTTGCGTCTGGGACAGCTCTGCTGACGGGGGTGGCACTGTGTGATGGGGGAACAAGACCAGGTACTGCATTGTCAGTGCTTTTGGATTGCCCATCTGACCTCATATCCTCCCAGGCTCTCGCTCCTTTTGTCTCAGCATTTCCCTTCCATCTTCTAACCACCAGCCGTGAATTCAGTGAACACTTCCCCTTTCTCATTTTCCTGTGGCACTCTCAAAATGTAGAGAAGAACCCCAAATGACTGCACTGTTCTATGATCAGCACACCCTCACTCAGAGAACTTGTTCAGCTGGGCAATCAGAAGCCTGGGCAACCACTTGTCTTCACGCTGAATATCTCTGTCCAGAGGTGCTGAACACTCAGATCTGCTGCTGTGAAACTCTCTCTGCTCTCTGAAGTGATTCACACACACGAATTTTTTGTACTTTGTACTTTTTAAATTATATTATTACTGTTTTTTTAATCCTCCCCTGAGGATATTTCCCTTTGATGATTTTTTTTCTTCCTCACTTGACATTTTTGCATTTATCTTCAGATAGAGCAGGAGGGAGAGAGGAAGGGAGAGAGAGAGAGAGAAACATCCATGTGAGAGACACACATTGAATGGTTGCCACCCACACGACCCCAACCGGGGTTGGGGACAATCTGCAACCGAGGTATGTGCCCTTAGCGGGAACTGAATCCAGGACTCTGGTCTGCGGGCCGATGCTCTAACCAGTGAGCAAAACCAGCCAAGGCTTTCCATTGATTAGATAGAGTGGAAGGGACGGTGGGAGAGAGAGAGAGAGAGAGAGAGAGAGAGAGAGAGAGAGAGAGAGAGAGAGAGAGAAACAAACACTGATGTGAGAGAGACACATCTATCAGTTGCCTCTTGTCTGGGGCTGGGGATTGAACCTGCAACACCAATTTGTGCCCTTGACCTGGAATCGAACCTGAGACCCCTCAGTCCACGGGCTGACACTCTAACCACTGAGCCAAACCGGCCGGGGCTGTACTTTTGTTAGAATAAATTCCAATTAAAAAAAAAAAATTGGCCCTGGCCGGTTTGGCTCAGCGGTTAGAGCGTTGGCCTGTGGTCTGGAGAGACCCGGGTTTGGTTCCTGCTAAGGGCACGTACCTCGGTTGCAGTTTGTCCCCGGCCCTGGTTGGGTCGTGTGGGTGGCAACCACTCGATGTGTCCCTTTCACGTCAATGTTTCTCTGTCTCTCTCTCTCTCCCACTCTATCAGTATAAAATATCAAAAAATATCCTCAGGTGAGGATTAAAAAAAAAAAAATTGAGCCCTGGCCAGTTTGGCTCAGTGGTTAGAGTGTTGGTCCTTGGACTAATGAGTCTCAGGTTTGATTCCGGTCAAGGGCATGTACCTCAGTTTCGGTTCGTCCCTGACCCTGATCAGGGTCATGTAGGAGGCAACCAGTCAATGTGTCTCTCTCACATTGATGTTTCTCTCTCTCCTCCCCACTCTATCTGAAGATAAATGGAAAAATGTCCTCGGGTGAGAGTTAAAAAAAAAAAATTTGTTAGTTAAATCTGTCGAAAGATCATTTTCAGGAAAAGGTAGATGCATGACTCCTCTATAGATATAACACTTTAGCACTCCCTCATGGGTTAAAAACTCTTTGACCCACGAGAGAGTCAGGTAGTTGTTATAACTAGTTCAAAAAAAACCCCAAAAGCTCTGGCCCAGTAGCTCAGTTGGTTAGAACGTCATCCTGATACGCCAAGACTGAGGGTTCGATCCTGTCAGGGCACATACAAAAATCAACCAGTGAATGCATAAATAAGTAGAACAACAAATCCATGTTCTCTGTTTCCCTTCCTCTCTCTCCCTAAAATCAATCAATAAAAATTAAGCCCTGGCCCTGTCCGGTTTGGCTCAGCAGTTAGAGCGCTCGCCCTCAGACCAAAGAGTCAGGGGTTTGATTCCAGTCAAGGTCACGGACCTTGGTTGCGGTTCGTCCCCAGCCCAGGTTGGGGTCGTGCAGGAGGCAAGCAGTCGATGTGTCACTTTCACATCAATGTTTCTCTCTCTGTCTCTCTCCCTCCCTTCCACTCTATCTAAAAGTCAATGGAAAATATCTTTGGGTGAAGATTAACAAAAAAATTAAAAAATAGGAAAATCAACCAATGAGTACATAAATAAGTGGAACAACCACAAATCATTGTTTCTCCTTCTCCTTCTCCCTTCTTCCCTCCCTCCCTTCCTCTCTTTCTCTGGGGGAGAAAATAATCCCTGGCTGGGTGGCTCAGTTGGTTGGAGCGTCATACCATACACCAAAAGTTGAGGGTTTGACTCCCCGTTAAGGCACATACCTAAGTCTTAGGTTGGATCCCCAGTCAGGGCACTTACAGGAGGCAATTGATTGATGTTTCTCTTTCTTCCTTCCTTTTTCTCTAAAAAATCAAAAAACATATCCAACAGTGAGGCTTTAAAAAAAAGAGAAACAGAACCCAAAGAACAGACCCATTTATAGAGTAGGAATATTGAAATGAATATGTAAATGAGGCAGAACTAGTTTTTTTCCTCTCAGCTGTGGGAGGGAAGACAACTGGATTTCTGTCAGTTGGGATAGAATTTTCACATCCATAACAAAGACTTTTTATTGTTACTGCTTACCTACAATTTACCTCATTGTAAAATAGCTAGAAGACTAAGCTAGAATCAGATAACCCAGGAGGGGTTATAGTTTTCACATCCAAAAGAAAAACCTTTTTTTTAATTAATTTTTTTTTTCTTTATTGATTTTAGAGAGAGAGTAAATAAGAAGGAGAGGGAGACAGAAACATCGATGAGAGAGAACGTCAATTGGCTGCCTCCTGCATGCCCCCACTGGGGATCGAGCCCACAACCTAGGCCTGTGTCCTGATCGGGAATCGAACCGGCGACCTCCTGGTGCATGGGTTGACGCTCAACCGCTGAGCCACACCAGCTGGACAGAAATACTTTTTATTGTTAGGACTTACCTACAGTTTACCTCATCGTAAAGTGGTTAGAAGATTAAACTAGAATCAGATAACCCAGAAGGAAGTGCTATATGTAGACAATACATAGCCTTCCACTGAAGCACAAGTTTTTCTCTATAATATATAAGCTTTTTATAATTTAAATTAGTATTCAGATTCTTGTGGTACAATTTCTTAAAGTTGAATAATTTGAAGATTTAGAGAATCATCTCTTTTAAAATGTAATACTTAAATTTAAAGTAATCCTTATATGTGAAGTTTTATGGCATAGGAAAATTAAATTTTTCTATCTTTGGAGATTAAATCCCTTCATGTTGTAAATTTTGTGTAATTATTCCAGTTGCTGAAATTATTGGTAATGCAGATCTAAAATAAGTGTCTTTGTGGATAGAGCTCTGGGGGAACCAAATCAGCAACTCCAGGGGATTAAAGTTAAGGAAATGATTGGCTTCTCATAAAATGATAATTTCTTTTGTTTTTGTTTTTTTTTTGGTACATGCCCCTAGCGGGAGCCGAACCTAGGACTCTGGTCCGCAGGCCGATGCTCCAACCGCTGAGCCAAACCGGCCAGGGCGATTATTTCTTTTGATGAGGAAGACAAATGGAAAAGAAATGACTCAAGGCTGTTACTCGAAAGCCTCTCACTAGAAGTTTAATTTTATGTATCTAAGCTGAAAAAGTCAAATAGAAGATATATATCATAGCAGTCTGTCAAATAACTAAAAGATGCTGCTAACTAGTCTAGAGGTCATATACATTGATAGGAAAAAATAGTTTGACCTGCCCTTGATCTCTCTGGTCTTTTCTCACTAGCCTATTGCTTAAAGCTGCTTTCTAGTTAGGAAGATATATTTCCGTGTGTGTGTGTGTGTGTGTGTGTGTGTGTGTGTGTGTTTTATTCTCCCTGAGGATGTTTTCCTGTTTATCTTCAGATAGAGTGGGAGGGAGGGAGAGAGAGACATACATCGACTGGTTGCCTCCCACATGTCCCTGACTAGGGTCAGGGATGAACCGCAACTGAGGTATGTGCCCTTGACCCAAATTGAACCCGAGACTCATTGGTTCGAGGGCTGGTGCTTTTACCGCTGAGCCAAACCAGCCAGGGCTATTTCCATATTTTTACACTTACATTGTTTGGTCTGTTTTCCAGACTTGTCACAGTTTTCTCTCTGTCGTAAGTGGGTTAAGATCTTGGAGATGAGCATAAGCCAGCGATTTTCAATCCTTTTTATCTCATGGCCCATGTAAATGAATTACTAAAATTCTGTGGCACGTGGAAAAAAAAAGTATTTTTGCTGATCTGACAAAACAATTAGGTATAATTTTGATTCGTTCACACCAGACAGCTATTGTTGTGTTGGCTGTTGTCATTTTGTTTCTTTTTTTATTAATTAAAAAAAATTTTTTTTAATTATTGATTTTAGAGAGCCAGGTGGGGAGGGAAAGAGAGAGAGAAAGAAACAGGTATTGGCATGTTTTAAAAATTCTTGCAGCAGCTTTGGCCCTTTTGGCTCAGTGGTTAGAGCGTCGGCCTGCAGACCGGGAGTCCTGGGTTCAGTTCCTGCTAAGGGCACGTACCTCAGTTGTAGTTTGTCCCTGGCCCTGGCTGGGGTCATTTGGGTGGCAACCGCTTGATGTGTCTCTCTCATGTCAATGTTTCTCTCTCTCTCTTCCCCCCTCTCTCCCTCCTGCTCTATCTGAAGATAAATGCAAAAAAAAAAAAAATGTCTTCAGGTGAGGATAAAAAAAAAATTCTTGCAGCACACCAGTGTGCCTCACACAGGTTGACAATTGCTGGCATAAGCCATTTGATTTATTTTTCAGTGCATATTTTAACTAACTGTAGACCTATTGTAACTTTTTTATTCTCTCTATGGAAGAGCTTGTCATTACTTGATTTTTTCAGAATTTGCAGCTGCCCAGTAGAGGGCAGCAGACATAAAGGGATAATGTGACTTTGTGGAGTATCTGTTACTACTTTTGTGTTCAGTTTCTCCTGCAGGCTCCACTTCAGGTCTCTTACTCCCCTTTTCTGTACTTTTTGTCCCTGCGCTCCTCTCATAGTGACGTAGGCTCGAGGCAGAGTATACCAGTCATGTTCAAGTTCCTTCCCAACTGTATTTCTGTTTACTTTCTGGTTGAAATGACACTTAGAATGTTTTGGTTACTTTCTTATATAAAACATACATTTTTAAATCAACCAAAAAGGAAAAAAACAAACAAACCATTTTAACTTCACCAAAGTCCTGTTTTTGAGTTTTGTTTATATTAAAACTTGTCTGGAAATAGCAGTGTTTAAATACAGTTTACCACATAATTTATTTCTCATTCTCATGAAGCCATTTGGAGATGGGTCAAAGAATCCTTTCCTGCAAATGAAAAAAGGCTTCTGGGCCTTTAAATGTGAGGTGTTATTTCTGAGAATTAGACTATATTGGATACTCTATTTGTCTCTTTTTACTTAATAAACAAATACAGGTTTTTTTGTAGGTATTATGAGAACCATTTGTTTCCTTCCTCATATCCCCAGATGCCTCATGACATCTGTCTCTTTAGCTTTCTGGGTTTTAATTGTTTTGGAAAAGGACAGTTGGGTACTCTTCCCCTTTCTGGTGAATGTTACTGATCATGGATTTTATTTAGCTGGGTTCAAAATTCTGATAGTGATTGTATTCTGAATTATTTTTAACACCCTAAATAATTTAACCTTGAGGTTTTGATCTTGTTTTCTATATTTATTGTGAATAGCTATTGATGTGCCCAAATAATTTCTTTCTCTCCGTAGGCACCGGAATTTCCTGAGTTCACCAGTACAGTCCAAGAAGCTATCAATTCCCTAGGGGGCAGTGTATTTCCTAAGCTTAACTGGAGTGCCCCAAGGGTAGGCCACATCAGTAAATCTCTCACTGTTTGAGTATTTGCTTTGCTGTTCATTTCATTTTATGTCCCCACAGAAAGTCTAATTACAGTCTTGATTCTAGGGAAAATACTGTGGAATTTATTTTCATTTTCCCCTTTTATATTATTTTCCTGATTTTGCATTATACTTTCCTGGCTCTGTGAAGTACTTTACTTATTTATTTATTTATTTTTAAAAAACATTTATTTTTTTAAATTTTTTGGTACGTGCCCCTAGTGGGAACCGAACCCAAAATTCTGTGGTCCACAGGCTGATGCTCCAACCGCTGAGCCAAACTGGCCAGGGCGTGAAGTACTTTAAATTTTGCCAAAACACAGCTTCAACCTCTTGTGCTGCTGATGATGCTAGAAATTTGAGGAAATCTGTGTTGTGTCCTTTTAAAAACTTTAGCTATTCAGCTTAACAAAGAAATTTTTCTCTATTGAAAAGTAATAAAATTTAAATGTCACAGGATCTAGAAATAGAACAGTTTGAAAAAGCAACTGATACCTTCTTAAATTATGTTTTATCATTTTAACATGACATCGACAAGATCTATGGAGAAATTTACTATTTTTTCTAATCCAATAGAAAACAATTTAATGTTAGCAAAGCTCATTGAAAGAATGAAAGACTTATTTGCATTTTCAGAAATCATCTCATGCTTCTTTCTTTATTCTAAAATGAATTACAGATTGTACTTTATCTAATTTTTATTTATTAAAATTAATTACATATGTACATTGTTTAAATTTTCAAAAGCTCTGGACACTTGCTACAAAAGTCAGCAAGTCCTGACACACTTTGCTTCACCATTTCCTACTCCTCGGAGGCTTTCAAATATTTTAGTATATTATTTTGTTGTTTTCCTCTGCTTCTTTATTCTTTAATTTTAGGTATTTATTATTGACTTTCTACTCCAGAACAGAAAGATTCAACTTTTATCTCCTGTCTTCATTATTTTCTATTCTACTATTCTCATTATAGTATCATACTTTAGATTAGATTAGTCTTCAGTGTTTCTTAATATTATGATTATCACTATGTACACATCTGATATGTATTACATTATGGTTGCTTATGTTTTCTTTTTTTTTTTTTTTTTTTTTTTTTTTATCCTCACCCGAGGACATTTTTCGATATTTTGTTCAGATAGAGTGAGAGGGAGAGAGAGAGAGAGAAACATCGATGTGAAAGCGACACATCGAGTGGTTGCCACCCACACGACCCAACCAGGGCTGGGGACAAACTGCAACCAAGGTACGTGCCCTTAGCGGGAACCGAACCCGGGTCTCTCCAGACCACAGGCCGATGCTCTAACCGCTGAGCCAAACCGGCCAGGGCTGCTTATGTTTTCTTATTCAACATTTCATTTTCCCTGGAGTTAATATTTGTCTTGTTTATTCAGTTGTGTGGTTTTCAGTGTATATACTCTTCTTTTAGTGGAGTTAAATCTTTTTGTTCAGTATACATCCTTTAAAAACATTTTTTTTTTCTTTATTGATTTGAGAGAGAGGGAGGAAGGGAGAGGGAGAGAGAGACAGAAACATCAATGAGAGAGAACGTTGATTGGCTGCTTCCTCCATGCCCCTCACTGGGGATTTGGCTCACAACCTGGGCATGTGCCCTGACCAGGAATCAAACTGGCAGCATCTTGGTGCATGGGTCAACACTCAACCACTGAGCCACACTGGCTGGGCAGAAATTCATCTTTTTCATTGGGAAAAATTAAAAAGTTACTATAAAAAAATTATTGAAACTCATTTTTACTTTATGTATAAGCAATAATTTGAATCATTCCTTACTACAGAATTAGGTTGAAGCTTTCCACTTAAGATGGATAAATTATTTGTGGTTTTAAGTTATTCATTTGTTTAAATTTTTTTTTTTTAATTAAAAAAATTTTTTTTTTTTTTATCCTCACCTGTGGACATTTTTCCATTTTTTGTTCAGATACAGTGGGAGGGAGAGAGAGAGAGAGAAACATCAACGTGAAAGGGACACATCAAGTGGCTGCCACCCGCACGACCAACCAGGGCCGGCGACAAACTGCAACCAAGATACATGCCCTTAGCGGGAACCGAACCTGGGTCTCTCTGGACCACAGGCTGATGCTCTCACCACTGAGCAAAACCGGCCAGGGCTATTCATTTATTTTTTATTTATTGAGTGCCTACTATGTGCCAGTGCTTTCCTATATTTCGATATTTTTTAAATGATCATTAGTTTTCTCAAAATTATATTATTGTCCTGTGCCTGGTCTATGTATGAGAGAAGTATGTTTTTAAATGACAATTATTTTGTCATTTTTAGGCATGTTCCACTAAGCTTTGTGCCTATTGTGCCTGATATGCTTACTTTATTATTATTATTATTTTGGTTTATATGTATGATTCACCATTTAATATGGTGGCTTTTCAGAAAATCTCACCTCCTCTCTTCTGTATTTGATAGACATGGATCTTAAGTCATCAAAGTTCAAAATTTTTTTGATATATAGGGCTGAGCTTCACTAATAGCAACTAACTTGGAATAGATATTAAGTAGCATGTGTTTTATCATTTAGGATGCATACTGGATAGCAATGAATAGTTCTCTGAAATGTAAAACCCTCAGCGACATCTTTCTACTGTTCAAGAGTTCTGATTTCATCACTCGTGACTTCACTCAGCCGTAAGTATGTTTCTTGTTCTTCCGTGTCAGTAGTTTCCATACTTGTGAGAGTTTTTCTACAGACAAATTAAACTAGATCTAGAACTATTGTAAACAGCGGTTCCATGTATCAAGTCTGTTTTCCTTTTACAGAAATTGCTATGCAGTGAATATCTCTAATGAGCTTTCTATATACCTGCCCACTGAATGTTTTGGTATTTTTCTTCTTATAAAACCAGTATATAAATGTCTAACTGCTGTGCTTTACACCTGGAACTATTATAAAATAATATTGAATGTCAACTGTAACTGAAAATTTAAAAATAAAAATAAATAAAAGACAAAAAAGCACCCTTAGTGTATGCTTATCATAGAAAAACAAAATTAGGAACTATAGCCAAACAAAAACAGGAAATGTAAAAGCATCCATGATCTTCCTACAGTTGGTTTTATATACTTCCAGAATTTTATCTATACATAGGTATAATATACTATATTATAATGTTTTGTTTTGTTTTTATCCTCCTCCAAGGATATTTTTCTATTTATCTTCAGATAGAGTGGGAGGGAGGGAGGAATAGAGAGAGAGAGAGAGAGAAACAGAAACATCTATGTGAGAGAGACACATCGACTGGTTGTTTCCTGCACAACCCTACCAGGGCAAGGTACGTGCTCTTGACCAGAATTGAACCTGCGACTCATTGGTCCACCGGCTGACGCTCTAACTCCTGAGCCAGACCGGCCAGGGCTATATTACAATGTTTTTAAACAAAAATGGGATTAGATAGTTCAGTGTTTAGTAGGCTGCTTTTGCACTTACTAGTATATAGCAAACATTTTTATGTGTTACTAAATACTTAAATGCATTATTTTAAACTACCTTAATAATGTCCTACTGAATAGTTAGAGCATAATTTGTTTGACCAATCTACTGTTCTTATATACAGCTCTGCAGTAAATACCTAAATCTTTGTGCACTTTCTAATTTTTCTCTAGGATAAATTTCCAGAAGTGTAAATGCAATTTTTCTTCCTTGGCCAGTTACTCTATTGCTAAAGAACTTGAGTCTGCTCTCTTTGTCATAGGCAGACAGCCCAGCTGCACTGTTGAGCTGTGGGTGATCCCTGTGCTTCCTTCGTTCTGTCATCAGATAGCAGTTATTCTTGATTTCTCATCTTACCCCGTCTTAAATCAGTTATCTCAACTAATTTATCAACGGACCTCTTAAATAAAGTGTATCCCACAACCCAGAAACTAAGCAGGTGAAAATATTGTCTATGCATGCCATTTCTTCCCCATCCATCCAGTTTAGTTTACCCTTCCCATTTATTCATCATAGCTTCAAATCCTGTTTTGAAGAGGAGCCTAGCAGGAAAAATAAATTCACTGCATGTCAATTGTGTATCAGTTCTTTTGCATCTGAGTTCTGCAGCTTGGGCATACGGTTTTAGTGTTATATTCATTAAAGAACATGAAGTTGAGTAATAATAAATATGTGTGGTTGTATTGGAAGTTTATTATAAAAGGATTTTACCTGTGTTGGTATTAGGTGTATGGTAGCCCTTGTTTTAGTAATAATGCAGTAGCATTTTTATTCTAGGAGATACCTTCTGATTAGAGGAAGTCATGAATATCTTTTTTTCCATTATACAGCCTTTGACATCTAATGGCTTTAAGTGAAGAGGTCTTGAAATATATTACATTAAAAATACTCTGTAGCCTATTAATTTATCAGATATGGATTTTTGTGTACCTTTAATTTTTGTGTGTATGTGTGTGTGTACCTTTAATATTGGTTGCAGTGAATATGAGGAAATTTTTTTCTTTCCAAAAATAATTGTGTAAATCACTTTTAATTCTCTGTGGCTGTTGGTTTTCTAAATCATCTTTCCAGTTCAGTGATTTGCAGCCTCCTCTTAGCCCATTCATCCCTTTGTGTTTTATATGAATTTAACTGTGATTCCAGTGGAAGGTAGAAAGATGAGTTATTTGTTTTGCATTTTGTGCCTTTTGACTTTTGCATGGGGAGGAAGTTAAATCAGCAAGTGAATTGGAAGCCTTGAATTAAGAGTGTTTATCCACAGAATACATCCTTTTCTTCATATAAATAATTGGGCGTTGGCAGAATCTAACACCAAGCGCTCAGCTTCCAGCCCTGCAGCACTGTGATGTCATCCTTTTTGGGAAATGTTTGTCAGTAGTCCTTTGCAGAACAATTAATAAGTCTTATAACATAAAAATCCTTATTAATAGGACCGATAATGAAAGATTCACTTATGTCACAGAGTCCTTTCAGGACCCCATAAAGATTAAATAAAGAATATAATTCTTGCCCTGGCCGGTTTGGCTCAGCGGTTAGAGCGTCGGCCTGCGGTCCTGAGAGACCCGGGTTCGGTTCCCGCTAAGGGCATGTACCTCGGTTGCAGTTTGTCCCCGGCTCTGGTCAGTCGTGCGGGTGGCAGCCACTCGATGTGTCCCTTTCACATCGATGTTTCTCTCTCTCTCTGTTCCTCTCTCTCCCTCCCACTCTACCTGAACAAAAAAAAAAAAAAAAAAGAATATAATTCTTTAGCCCTAGCAGGTTTGGCTCAGCAGTTAAGAGCGTCAGCCCACGGACCAAAGGGTCCTGGGTTCTATTCCCGTCAAGGGCATGTACCTCGATTGTGGTTCAGTTCCATCCTTGGTTGGGGTCATGCGGGAGATAACCGGTTAATGTGTCTCTCTATTGTCAATGTTTCTATCTCTCTCTATTTCTCTCTCTCTCTCTCTCTCCCCTCCTCCCACTGTATCTGAAGATAAATGGAAAAGAAAAATCCTCAGATGAGGATTTAAAAAAAATATATATATAATTCCTTAAATTGGATAGGGTGATATCAGTGATACAATCATTCCTTCTATCCATTAGAAAATCGAGGCCTAAATCTGTTCAGTAATATGTTCCCACAAGCTAGTTAGAAACAAAACCAGAATATAATTTCAATAACACCATTCTAAATGTTCTCTGTATTTTCACTTAATAAAGTTATAAATTTATTTTTCAAAATGTTTCAAATTAAAATGCTACATAGTAGAATAAAATATTATAATAGATAATTACATAGATATGTATAAAATTATGTAATATTATGAAAGTGAGATTATGTCACTTATATTATTTTGGGGCTTTCCTCAAAAAAAAGAAACAAAGATGTTATAGTCAAGATTGCAAGTTAACAGAAGGCGAACTAAAAATAATTTATACAAACAGGGTTTTAAAAAAGATATTATTTAACAAGGAATCTGGAGATTGGGTATTTCTAGGGTTACTCAGCAGCTTGTCCTGGTCATGGAACTCAGACTCTTTCAGTCCTTCTCTGTTCTCATCCTGGGCTGTTGGTGTGGTATTTGGGTTTCTCACCTAAAGGTTACAAGATTGCTGCTGCAGTTCCAGGTATCATATAAAGACATGACAATATCTGAATAAAAAATAGAGCATGCTTCCTCTCCTTTGTATGCGAGCAAGTAAAGCATTTTGGAAGCTTCCCAGGAGACTTCCTGTCAGGCTCATTCTTTGGTTACCCAGCCTAATCCAGTAGTTGGCAGAGGGGACAGACATGCTGTGATTGGTTTAGATCAGAGGCTCTCAAACTTTAGCATGCATCAGAATCATCTGGGGAGTCTGATAAAACACAGATTGCTGGTCCTCACCTTCTGGTTCAGTAGGCTGGGAGTGGTGCCCAAGATGATAATTTCCAACATGTCCCCAGATGATCCTGATGCTGTTGGTCCAGGCCCTCACCTGGAGGCCTACTTAGATTAGTCAACATGTGTAACCCTGGGATCCTGGAGAGGATGTCTGAAGACAAGTGCCTCCTGGTAGGAACAGTCACGATCTAGAACAGTCACGATTCTTTTAGCAAGGATGAAGGTTGGGAATAGCTAGAGGGTAGACTTCCAGTGTTGTTACCACCATTGTGATTTTATTTTATTTTATTTTTTTTAGAGAGAAAGGAAGGGAGAGGGAGATAGAAACATTGATAAGAGAGAACATCGACTGGCTGCCTCCTACGTGCCCCCTCACTGGGGATTTGGCCTATAACCTGGGCATGCGCCCTGACCTGGAATTGAACCAGCAACCTCTTCTTGGTGCATGGGTTGACGCTCAACCACTGAGCCACACCGGCCGGGCTTATTTTATGTAGAACATTAAGTACTCTTATTTCTCCTGTTCCTCAAATGTAAGTTGAAATAAGATACATGTAACCTAATCTGTCTGCATTATGCTTGCTGACTGTATTATTTGCCCATGTATAAACATTCTGTGTGATTAGACTTGTTGAGCCGTAAGGCTTCTTTCATTAATTATTTTATTAAGTATCACTTCAGTAGGCTAAGCGAGAAAAAAATATCTGATATTCACTTGGCATTTAGAAGAAGGGGCTGAATGAAAAATTAATTCATTAATTTTTTTTCTCTGCAGGGCTTGTGACTAGGGAAATTTAACTAGAGGTCAGGAAATTTCACTTGTCTTAGTAATTTATATTCAGCTATTTCAACCTAATTTTTATACATTTTTTTCTCAAGATTATCACAAAACTGGTTTTTAATCCTAAAATTTAGCAGACAGTTTCAGGAGTAAAATTTGGTGCATAAGATGGACCTAACAGAACTTTATCTCATGATTTTTAAGACTTGTTTATTTAGATGACAGTTTTTCTGCTTTCGGTTGTTTTTGAAGAAAAATTCTATTAAAATTAGTATGAACACACCTAATCACCCTTAATTCATTGTCATTTTGCTTTTATCTTTCCTTTTCTGCCACCAGTGAAATCTGAAGATATGGAATCTGTTTACCAAAACTCTTATTTTGGTTCCCGATGAGCAATAAAAACTACACCACCAGAATTTTAATGCTTGCTTTTCCCCTGGCTCTGTATTGTTTTTTTCTTGCCCAAGATTTAAGGTTTTTTCCCCCTTATATGTAGGAGTTATTTACTGTGAAGTATAATGCTGTAATCTTGCAACTTTTTAGAAAAGTTTAT